CTGCTAGAGCACAGGGCAGAGGGCGCGGGAATTGTGTCCTAGGTGGCTTCCTGGGGAAGATGGACTTTTTGTCACGACTTGGCTTGCCCGCTTCCCACTGAGCTTGGGGATGCAGATCTCAGAGCTGCCTCCATTTCCAAGGAGCTCTGCTGCCGAGCTGCCCTTCCACACCTTGAGGAGAATGGACCCGCAGGGGGACACTGATTACCTTGCATTTTGGCCATAATGGCCTGGGGGAAAGAACAGGGGCAGCTGTAAGGAACAGAGGAGATGTCATGTCTGATGATCCCGGATCTTTTTTTCCCTGGGCGTTAGGCCTGCTGTGGAAGGCAGGAGGAGGCAGTGGGAGCCTGGGTCTCCTCAGCTGTGTGGGTGCCCCTTTCCTGAATCCCGGCTCAGCAATGGGATGCTTGTTAGAAAGCAGGGATTCTGAAGGGAGACCTGGGCCAAGCTCTTTGCTGGCAGAACTGTGCTGAACTCTGTGCCCTCGCACCAAGAGCTAATTTGCCTCCCAGTGCTGGAGGGCTGAGCAAATGCTCCCCGCGGATGGGAAACAAGTTGCTCTGTCTCCCCCCTGCCCTTTCCTTTGTCCTTAAGGAAAGGGGGAAAACCCTACTGAAGATGGGATCCCTGGCACTAAACTGAGTTGTGTGGAGTTATTTCCCAAACTCGCATTACCTCTATGAAACCAGAGCAGATGAGGAAGGTCGGCGTGGCTGAGGTTTGGATTTAGCTGCCGCTGTGGCTCTGACCAGGCCATGAGCCCATCCTGCCATAGCTGAGTGTGAGCAGCACAGCCCACTCGAATACCTGCCAGAGTCAGTGTGTCGGACCCCAGGGAGCTCCTCTTGCCCAGGGTCACCAGCTGGAGAAGAGATGGTGTCCATCCTCACCCTGCCGCGGGCTGTGGCCGTCGCCTTGGGGAAAGGAGTGGGCTTGGTCTGGCTCTGGGCAGTGGAATGGGACATTTACCCTGTGACTCAGAGGTACCTCCTGGGCAGAGCAAAACACTCCGTGATTTTTTTGGTGAAGGTTCATTCTCATTCTGATTTCATGCTGTCTGAACTCTTTTGTCAAATCCTGACTCTTCTCCTCAGCTGTCCATCACCCACACTCCTCTTTTGATGGCTCATCACAGACAGCCTGGTAAAAAGATCTTGGTTATTTTCTCTTTCCTGTTTTTCCCCTTTGACAAGTCCCATGAACTTTTTGCAGCTGTCCTGACTCTCCTCCCCTGTGCTCCCTGGGCCGCAGTGTGGCAGTGAGAGCGGCCCCCCCGGGAGGAGATGTGTTCTTCTGTCCAGGGGCTGCTGGGCAGCTCTCTGGTGACCACATCCCAGAAAAAATAAGGGCGTTTCCTGTAGGACCTCTTGTACTGGAAGGAACAGTCCTTTAGCCCAGGTGTCTTGGGACGTGTCTTCTGGGAGGGGGACACCAGGCCTCCAAATCCAGCAGTTTCTGTCAGCTCATTCTTTGGTCTGATTTGCTGCTGGCCCTTAATCTGCAGCATCAGTTTGGGGTGCACAGAGGTTCAGGGCAGGGTCACCTCTTCCTCCAGGACAGGATCTGTGGATTCAGCTCAGTATTTTAAGCAAGATGGAGCCCAATGAGTCCTCCTCCTAGCAAGAGCTGGTACCCAGGGTGGATGAGCTGTTCATTCAGATACTTCAACACTGAAGGAAGTTCCATTTGTCTATTTAAAATCCCTTTCTTGACCACTGTTTAGCATCTTGATTAAAATACTTCTGGCACCTTGGATCGGTGTATGGGGATTTAAAAGTGCTCCAAATGAAGCAGGCAAATGAGTCGAACTGCATTTAGTTAATTCCCTGGCTGTCAATAATGCAGCCAACCCTGGGCTGAAGACACCTGGGGCTCGTCTGCTGTTCCTAGTGGAGGTTTCGGGCCCTTTCTCAGAGATGTCCCCGCTCTGTCAGGGACGGCTTTACTGACCAGAGGGCAGGAGGCACTCTGGGAGTGGCCCCTTCGGATGGAGGCTGGAGAGCTCTGCTCTTCTGGCCTGGCCGTCAGGCCGTGGCTTTCACAGTGCTCCCATCTCTCAGCTCAGCTCTGCTTTCTGTCATTAGGACGCAGCTTGGATTTGCCAGGGTTTAGTCAATCACGACGTGCCCTACTGCCCATCTGCACGAACACCCCCCTCTAGCAAGGGACAGGACAACCTCACACATACAGAAAGCGAAACCTCCCACTAATTACTCCATGGGAATGCAGCCGGCGGAGTTTTCTGTCCAGATGGCGCCTGTGCTGCTGTCAGCTTCAGGACACCAGTGCTTCCACCACAGCATCTTCCTCCCTGTTCCCCCTGCCCTGGGCAGATCTCTGCCTCAGGTCTGGCCCTGCTGTTTCATGAGATGTGCCCTCTAGGCGTGGTTATCGAGGGTTAGGACAGACTGTGGGTGTTGCGCTGTGTTACACAGCGGTGGTTGTGTCAGTCAGACGTGGACGAGTCCCAAGTGCAGATGTGCAGTGACAAATGCCCGTTATTTGGCCCCAACTCCAGGAGAACTGAACCCCTTCAGCCTCCTCAGTCTGGGGGGCGATGAGCGATGGAGAGCAGCTGCAGACTGCCAAGGGCTCAGCGACAGGAGGATCCTTTGCTCTGCTCCCCCCATTACCCTGCTCTGCTGGCAAGCGTGCGTGCAGGTGGCTGCATCCCGCGTGCGTGTGCGCTGCAGTGTGTGCACACGCTGTCTGTGCACGTGGGGTGTGTGTGTGTGTACATGCCCCAGAGCTGTCTGCGTGTCACATCCATTTTCCTGTCCCCTCTCTGCCCTGATGTGCCAGTCTTCTCCGTGCCATGTGGCTCAGAGCACCTTCCTCTGCGACCAGGCTGGGGTCAGCACTTTGGAGGGACTCTTCCCCGTTGTGCCCGATGTGGCTGCCTGCAGCCTCATCCTGCTGCTCAAGCCTTTGTTCCCTTTAGGATCTGCAGGAGCTCCAGCAGCCGGGTAAAGAATTGCAGCAGCTTCTGGAGGGGAAAGGGGCACGAGCTAAACCAGCCCAACTGTGCCGGTGTTGGGCTGGGCCTCTGAAGAGGGGTTGAGGCGCTGAGAGAAGGACTCCATGGCCATGATGTTGGAGCAGCCCTCGGTGTCCAGTACAGCCCCATCTGTTCCAGGATCCACTCGTAGTAGTGCTGAGTGGAGGTGTAGATTCCGGGCCGTTTCGCTCTCGCGCAGCCTCTCCCACAGCTGGTCACCCCAACGAGCCAGAAGTACTCAGCACTCTTGTCTTTGCAGACGAGAGGACCACCGCTGTCCCCCTGCAACGGAGGACAGAGGGTCACGGTGATGTTGGGTGGCCGCTGGCAGCACTAGGGCCGGCTCCTTCTCTCTGCCAGCACCCCCAGAGCTGTGTCCGCAGCACAGAAGCTCTGCTCAGGTGCTGGGGCCGACAGGACCTTGTCTGGGAGAGGGTGGTGGGCCTGTGGGGTAGGGCTTGCGCTCATCTCTGCACAGCGACGCTGGCCGGGTGCAAGAGGGATGTTCCAGGGCTGGGAGCTGGACCTCGGGGCTGCCAGGAGCGCTGGATGGGCTTTCTGGGCAGAATCCCGGGCCTCTGGGGCAAGTGGGGCCCTGGGCAAGGACCTGCAGCTGGGGAAGGGGAGCCCCAGCAGCGGTGGGGACCCAGCGGTGGTGGGAGGGCGACTGGCCAGGCAAAGCCCGTGCCGGGGGTTGTCCGGGTGGCTCTACGGGGCTGCCAGTGCCGCTGGGCGCTGCCTTGTCGCAGGCTCCTACCAGGCAGGTGCCGATGCCGCCCTGCGGGGAGCCAGCGCACATGTTGTGGGGGTGGACGGCTCCACAGTACCACCGGCTGCTGTTGCACAGGTTGAGGTCGATGAGGCAGACCTGGGCCTCCTGCAGGACGTCCATTGGTCCTGCAGCTGCGAGCACAGAAAGAAATTAATGCCCAGCTTCTGGTTTCCAGGTCTCCTGCCCTGGCTGGGTGAACCCCTCCCTTCCATGGGGCTTGGCTTTGCGACGTGACAGGCGCTGCCCCGGCAGTGCCCTGCTGTCTTGCCGCAGGCCCCGGGCCCGGCCCATCTTGCTACAGGCTCACGTCCCCGCAGCCGGGCTCTAGCTCTTGCCTCCGCTCTCATGAAGCCCAGCCCGCCTCCCCGTGTGCCGAGCTTGCGCTCGGGACGCAAGCGCTCTTTGGGAACTCACCTCTTGCTCTCGTGGCCCCCAGCCGCTGTTGTAGCACGTTCCCAGATCGGACACTCGCAGCCAGCCGTTGGGCATGCAGGCCAGCTGGACGTAGTAGCAACACTGCATGGGCCGGTCCAACTGCAGCTGCACAACTTTGTTCCTCTTGGTGAGGCTGCTGTAGCATGGGTGAACCAGCAGCCGCTTAATGCCGTGAACTTGGGTCTCCGTGCCCGGCTGAGTCAAGCGGGTGGCCCCGAACACCACGCGCCACATGGCGATGTGCCTGGAAGGCAGATGGGGAGAGGGCTCAGATGGAGCCCAACCACGTGCTGCCGCAGCCCAGCAGCTCCCTGCCATCTGCTTCACGCGGGGCAGAGGAAAGCAGCGCTACGGAGGCTCAGACTGCCCCTGCGTACCTTGGGCTCGAGGCGTGTCAAGCTGGAGGCTGTCGGAAGCTGGGTCAGGAGCCCAGCTCTCTCCTGAGCAGCCTCTCAGCCAGGCTCTGCAGTGCCCAGGCACTGGGTGTATGGCAAGGCAAGGGGACAGCAGTAGCCCGTGGTGCTGCGGACAGGGCACCCGCCAGTGCCGGGGGATATCCCTGTGCTCGGCCCTCCTTCCCTGGCCTCGAGGAAGCAGTGGGCTGCTGTCAGAACCCACTCTGCGCTGATGAGCGACCCTCCACACACATGACCCGTGCCTGCTTCCCAGGGGTCCTGGATGCTGACAATCCAGGGCCAGGCCCCTGGCAGGGCGCCTGTGCCCCCCACGACGTGCGACGTGCCTGAGTGAGCAGCCATGGGCTGGAGCCCGCAGCTCCCCCTGTAACCAGAAACCCATCACTCTCCTGCTAGACGGCTCGTGGCTGGCCTGCCTGAAGGTCAGCCCTCTGCCCTCCCCACAAGGGTCTGCATGGACAGCGAGGCCAGGGAACCGCGCAGGGTGGGCAGGAGGCATCTGCCCCGCTTCAGCTTTAGCACCGCAGGCGAGCTGTGCCAGCAGCTCAGGTGCTGCCAGGAGCTGAGGCTCCCACGTGCGGCTGGGGAAGCCATGCTGTGGCCACAGGGGACAGGTGGGCACCCTCCAGGGAACCCCATCAGGCTGCCCAAGCTCCCTCCCACAGCCTCAGCCAATTACCCACAGCTGTCCCAGGCACAGGGCGCAGGCCAGCACAGGGCCAGCAGGACGAGGAGCAGAGGTATCGCTGCCAGCGCCACGTGGCAGCTCCAAGATCTGAGGACTTGCTGCCACCAGTCCAGCAGCCGACAGAGTGCCACATTTGGTTCGGGGGATGGGCACGCTGGCCTCTCAGCGGGGGAACACACCATGGGGGTTTCCAAGCGGGAGGGGAGGCAGAAGCTGGGGTCGGACACCCCTGGCAGACCCCACTGAATGCCCCGCTTGGGGCACAGGGGTTTGCAGGCCCCGGTCAGGCAGCAGCACCTGGCCCCCAGCACTGCCTGCCAACGGCCAGCAGGAAAAAACCCAGCCTGGCACCCCAGACTCTGGGGGGAGTTCACCACCCCTCTGCTCTCCACAGCTCTCTGCCCCCAGGTTCTTCCCAAAAATCGCACGCCAGAGAACAGCACTGCGACAGCGCTCACTAAATCTGCCCACACGGCCTGACCATGGGTCCCCTCGACAGGAGCACGGGATCTCAGTTCGGTTCAGATCTGGCCGCACGCTCCTACCTGGCAGGTGTCGATGCCGCCCCGCACAGTCTGTGAGTCCTGTGCTGGCAAAGAACGTACCTGCGGTTCTTCAGGGACTAGTGAAGGAACAAAATGATTTCCAGTTTCTCACGAGGGACTAGAGAGGAGCCGTAAGCATTTACAGATACGCGTGGTTTATTGCTCTGTTGTGTCAAGGTACTGGCTTAAAGTCTAGGCTAAGGAGCTGATGGGTGGTGTAAGAGGCCAGGACTAGAAACAATCAACTGGACTAGAAAAAATAACCAGAATGTCATTAAAAAAGCAAATCTGTCTTTAAACTAGCATTTCTAAAATTGTACATTGGCTTCAGTCTTAGAACCCTTACCTAAAAGGCCATCAGCCACTGGTTTCTTCACTCTCTGAATATCTAGGACTGCTTACTTCGGAAGCACTTTTCGTTGCAGGGGCAGCAGCTCCCGCTGGAGGAAGACAGGTACCCCTGGGATGTCCAGGGACACCAAATCCCCCCTGCCACCCATCCAAACACCATTTGCCACCCTGAAGTCCCTTCAAAACACCCTTAGCCCCCTCCCCCAATCCTCATTAGTGACCCCCTGATCCTATTGGCCCCTGTTTTGCTGATTAGGGATATCAATTAAACTCAGATACCAGGGTCAAAAGAGCAGGCGTATTTTACTCAAGTAAATAATGTAACAGAAGAATAAGGAAAACATACAGTAAGAAAAGGCAGAAGAGTGCACTTAAACCAATAGGAAAATGCAGGGTAATGCATCAAATCATGACTGCCTGAGAGAGAGAACAGTGATTCAGACAGATTCAGCCCCACTCACGGACTTTACACCCCCCAGCCCCGCAGCGCTGGGCAGCCCTGGTTACACGAGGGTTGGCAGAGCCTGGCCCGGGCAGTGGGAAATCCTACGCGGTGCTTCCACCCGTAGCTGAGGCCTCCAGAGCCGCTGGGCGCGGGTCCGACCTTAGAGACCCAAAAATCAGCCAGGCAGAGTAGCTGGCACCTTGGTTTTGAGTGGAAATATCTGGTTTCAATCTCACAGGAGATTCCCCCAGCGCCTCGCCAGGGCTCAGGGGAGAAGCTCAGGCAGTTTCCCTCCTTATTCATTTATTGCTGTTCTTTTTAAAACCAGGCCACACGTCCGTCCCAAGGCCGGGCAGCCGGCTTCACGGCTTTGTTAACTTCCCCTACACAGAGAAGGCAGATACATCCAGGATAGACACGTTCCGTGGCATCCATCACCAGTAATGAGTATATGCTATCTGAGCTACATCTTTCATTAATAAGCATACATATTTCATTACTAAGTCAGCAGCTTTGGCTCGGGGCCTGTTGCTCAGGATTCAATACCTCCACCTTTTACATCAGCACAGTTGGTTTGTTGTAATGCAGTGTGACGCCCATGAGCACAGCGGGTATCAGGTATAAAACACACAGGATTCATCTCTAGGGCAGCTCTGCCTGGGGCCGGTTGTCCAAGCCTCAGCACTTCAAGCGTCTGCCCTGCGCTGCGTTCCTCCCCGGCCGCTTCCCTGGCGGGAGAACAGACCCGCAGGGCAGAGATCTCCACCCTGCACAGCGGCAGCTGGGCTGCGCCTCACACCCGCACAACAGCCCCACAGCGGGGATTTTTACACTTGTTCTTGACACACCATGAAACGGCAAACGCTGCAAACAGCCAAAGCCCCTTCACAATATCTAAAGCCATCGCCAGTGGATGCTGTGGTGCTGCCAGGCAAGGGATGGTGCGTCACAGTGTTGGCACCTGCTGTACAAACTGCCGCTTTGCGGTTCAGGGCGGGCCGGGGGTACGGTGCCAGAGGCCACAGGCGGTCACCCCGTGGCAGGGGGGGGCTGGGGCAGG